GGAAATAGAAGATCATTGTACTCAATGTAATTAAAATCGAGATATTACTTAACATCGGTGAAGGGAAAAAAAAGACATGTAAATCATGGAATTGTAATATGGATCCTTCCATCTTATTTATAATACAAAATTATATTCAAATATATATAAAATAATAATAATAACATTTGTAAATAAAATAATCTTAATAACTCGATTTTAATAATAACGTAACTTGATTTTTTGATCTATCATAAGTATAATAATAATATTGTTATACCGATGCAAAAATCCACTACTAGTTTGGATACTAACATCTTATTAAAAATAAAAAATTATATTCAAATATATATATGAAATTAACAAAATAGTGATATGTGAATCTGTTCATCCTTTACTCCTTTTGTTTATAAATATTTTAACAAGAAATTTAATGAAAATTTAATGAAAATTAAATAAATAAAGCAAGAAAGAGATAACAGAACGTATCCTTGGTTTTTTCACCCTTTTGCCCCTCATTAATTATTTAATAACCATTTTGCCCCTTATTCAGAACTATCTACCAATCTGCCCCTCTTTAATCGAGTAAGCCAAAAATTTAATCGATTAAATGGTCAAAATAGGCAAAAATCGTTGACTTGAATATTTAGTCGATTAAATCTCCCTATTTAATCGATTAAATCTCCCATGCATAAGGTTGTTCTTCTGATAAAGAGGAAGATTTAATCGATTAAGTTGAAGATTTAATCGATTAAATCTTCATTTGACCATTTAATGATTAAATATTCAATTAATCAATTAAAGAGAGGCATATTGGTGGATAGTTTGCAATAAGGGACAAAATGGTTATTAAATAATTAATGAGGGGCAAAAGGGTGAAAAAGCTCTCGTGGCACAGTCTTTAGGACAAAAAAAAAATTATTTATTTAGTATAATGGAGGACTTTTTAACAAAAAAGTTACTGAACTATTACTCTATGCAAGGCAGAAACAACATTGGTCATCAACTCTGAGAATGGCAACCTCGATGCCTGTGGCTACCCCAACCCTGACACTGTCATTCAACGCTATCCAGCAAGAGGGTATTTGGATCCCAACCAATATGCCCGTGCCGAGAAAAGGAAAAAGCAACAATCAATTCGCGGACTCAGAAAATTTTATTTATGTCTGCAAACTTAATGACGGGTGTTCGAGAGTAGTCTCTGGAAAAAAAATTTAAAGAGAATTTTAAATGCATTAAAAAAATAGAAGAATATAAACAAGAAGTGAAAAGAAAACTATTCACATATATCAAGCTTAGCTATTTCACATATATCTCATTTTTGTAAATATTATTTCAAGCTAGAGTAAAGTACCTTTTGGGTCCTCAACAAATTATATACATGGACCAATTTAATTCCTTAAGAAAAAAAAATTGACTCGTGGTCCCTCTGAAATTCAAAACAAACCCATGTTAGTTCTTTTAAGGGACTAACGAGAGTCTTTATTGAATTTCAGAGGGACCATGATTTCAGCTCACTGTGTCTATTTTGAATTTAAGAAGAATCTCAAGTCGAATTTTTTTCTTAGAAATTAAAATGAGCCTCGTGATTTGTGTTGAGGACCCAAAAAGAACTTTACTCACTACAAAAAAAAGGGATGATTACTGGAGGTTTTTTAATGGAGGTTAAAAAAACCTCCACTAAATAATCTAATTTCTGGCGGGTTTTAACTATTAAACCTCCCCAATTTAGTTCCCATTCTGTTTTGCTAAATTAGAAGGCCTTAAATCGAATAAAGAAAAACCAAACGCGCCCAATCTCAATTCCCAATATCAAGTGTGGGTGAAAACAGAAGGCTACAACGATAACTTTTTCTCTCTCGCGCCCATTTTCTGCTCTTCATCTTCTTTTTCTCATTCTCTGATTCTCTCTCATTCTTTTTCGACTTTCTCTCTCTACATTTTCTCACCCAATTTCTCTCTTATTTCAGGCAAATCATCGATCGGTACTTGACTATGGAACATCATGGATCTATGTAAACATGTTGTTTCAATTCATGTTTATCCGATTTGATAAGATTCCCCGAATTTAATTTTTGTTCACTGATTTTAGGTATTGAGTGCCAAGCCAACCAGGCTAGCGCCACTAGCGAGGAATGCACTGTGGCTTGGGGTATGTCCAAATGCCTCTTATTTCTCGTTCAGTTGTACAGTTCTTCCTACTTTTAACCTTGATCGTCGATTTTATGTGAAATACCTGAGTGAATTGCATTTGACTTCCTATAATTTGATGGAGTTATTCAAAAGATTAATTTCTTCTTTTGAGTTATTTGAATGAAATAATAGACCAAACAATCTTAGTATTCACTGTCAACGGAGTTGGGCTTGTATTTGAGTTCATCTAGCAAATTATATTATTTCCAGAGAAGAAATAATAGACCAACTCTCATTCCATGCTTGTTCCTTTTTGTGCCTTAACTTTATTCTATTAACTTTGTTTTTAGGCCAAAGATAAAAAAACTCAAAAAAGAAGAGGGGGCAAAAAAGAAGGATGAGGTTGGCCTTGCTTATATGAAACTCTCCTGTTTGCTTTATATATATGGTAATGTGACAAATAGAGGTGTACAAAAGAATAAAAAAATTGAATTTACATAGACATGTCCTGGCATCACTCCCTTCTGAACGAGCAATATTTATTAACATATGTTGTTATTAGTTCACTCTCCATCAGCTTGAACGATTTGGGCTTAAAGTTCATACTGAAGTAAAGTATGTAATAGCAAGTTTGACTCTCATGTAAGACTAATGATATAATTTTATGTTAACAAAGTTTAATTTTGTATCCACTAATAGTAACTTCTTCCCTTGTGCTTGTTATTATTTGATATCATGCTTACCCATAGGTTCTGGCAGAAAAACTACCAGAAGTTTTAGACTTCTCCAAGGATCTTGCTAGCCTCGAGCTAGCTGCAAAGGTTTTGTACTCCTCCAAGGCTCTTCACTTCATTATGGTGATGGAAATAGTATATTTGTTAGGACTGACATCTATGATTACGATCCAAGTCCAGTTGAAGTTTGTGGCAGAGGAGATGCAAGGTATAAACAAAGGATTAGAGAAAGTTTAACATGAACTATCAAACTCTGAAAATGATGGTCCTATATCATAAACTTCCTACAAGCTATAAGCCCAAGAGGGAAAATAGAGTGGCCTGATTATAGTTTATTTTTATTATTATGTTATGGTTCAATTGACGTATTTGAATAATTTGAAACATGTTGCAGTCTTGATCCCTTTACTCAAGTACCAACAAAAACATCCTCATAATTATATCTTGCTTGGACTCTTCAGTCTTCACCATCTCAATTAGCTTCACTGTTGGAGTGACATGTGCTAACTCGGATGGTTCGTATCATTCATTCATTTTGTGATTGATTATATATAGGATTCAAAATCAGTGGATTCTGTTTGTGGTTGATCTGATTATATGTCTATTGGAATGAATGAATGCTTGCAAGAAAAATTGTTCTTGAGGCATTGATTTTGACCTCGGCAGTTGCTTCTTCTCTCACTGGCTATGCCTTTTGGGCTTCCAAGAAGGGCAAGGATTTTAGCTACCTTAGTCCAATATTGTTCACCTGCCTCGTTACCCTCTTCCTCACTGGCATGATGCAGGTTAGGTTTCACTCTCTTATTTCATCATCATTATGATTATGATATCTCTAGTTGAGTGCACTGCACCATATATCACTACTAGAAATATTAATATTTTCAACGGAAATTTTCCGTTGCAAAGTATGAAAATTCCGTTGAAAAATCATTTTTCCACGGAATTTTCGACGGAATTCTTCTGTTGGATAATCCTTCGTTGTAAGGCAACAAATTTTTTTTTTTCCGTTGAAATTTGCAACGAAATATTGTTCCGTTGAAAGATTCGACGGAATGTATTCCGTGGAAAGCCTTACTTTTCCGTTAATAAATAAAGTCATGACATATTATTAAAATAATAAATTCCGTCAAAAAATTCAACGGAAAATATATCTGTCAAAAAATTCTGTCTCAATTTGCAACGGAATTTTACTATAATTCCGTCGATAATTGCAACGGAAAATATCTCCGTGAAAAAATTCCGTTGTAAAATTCAACGGAATTTATCTATAATTCCGTCTATAATTTCAACGGAAAATGATTCTGTCGAAAAGTTAGTTTGCAACGGAATTTATTTATAATTCCGTTGAAAATTCCAACGGAAAAAAATTCCGTCTAAAAGTTCTGTAACCGTTTGCAACGAAATTTATCTATAATTCTGTTGAAAATTTCAACGGAATGAAATTCCATTGAAAATTCTTAACCGTTTGCAACGGAATTTATATAGAATTCCGTCGAAGATAATATTTTTAATTTTTTAAAAAACATTAATTTCATATGGATTTTAATTCAACAAATATCGACGGCATTTTAAACTGACGGCATAAATATTGACGTCATTTTGAAAACTACCTACGTATATGGGGCCACTAAATCCATATGCATGATTTGGAGTCGATTTTCTCAACCAACGGAATAACCAACCATTAAACTTTTTCTTTGCACAAAATTAATGGCAACCGTTAAAAATCGCCGCTGGACTTTTGCTTAATAATTAAAAAAATAAGCAGCAAAAACAACTTTTATTTTTTTAAAATCATTTAAAATCTACTAAATTTTCCTACATACAATCAAAATGAGAAAAAATTCTAAATTTTAATTGAAAGAAAATTTTCCTAAATATGAAATATGCTTCTAACAATTAAATATTCTCTGAAAATTATTATAATAATATTCAAATGTAAAATTAATATGTATTAATAAGATAACTTAAATTCAAATGAAGTCTAAAGAAAATACATGAAACGGAAGAAAAATGCTAACTAAAGGCTGATGTCTTAACACTTGCCCTAGCCACCAAAATATGCACTATTTGTTTGTCACGAAGGATCTGCAATAGAAAAAAATTATACCTAAAATAATTTCACACATCACTCTATTTCAGAGCAATCCAATATCCACATCAAACAATTCAAAGGTCGATTGAGTGGACTAACCAGTTCAGGTGAGATAGCATTCAATTGCCTTGGTCTGTTCAAAGTGATAATCCTTACATGTTTCTATCTCTTCTCCAACAACAATCTTAAGATCAAAACCAACAATACCCCATTACATGTTTTTCTTAGAAAAAAAAGTCAAAACTCGTGAAAATGATGGATGATATGAAATAAGATTAAAAATCACCAAAATTCTTTACCAGCATAGTGCCACTGCCATCTATAACTTTATATCCAGACATCAGAAAAGGATCCTTATGCACCTGCAAAAAGAAAAATTGTTATAGGAAATTCACTAGTCACTACAAAAAAATAGTTGTTGAGCCACTAGTCGAGATTTTTTGTTTATTCTTGATTTCTAGGTTACTTTTTACTTCGGTTGTGAAAAATATGAGCGAGATCATGAGAAATGCAAGTGGGAGCTCTAGTTTTACATATATATATATATATATATCGTGTTGATGTAGCAACCTCCAAAGTTTAACTTTATTAAAAAAAATTTACGTATAATAAAAAATACAAACTAGTTTTACAAATAATTCTCTATTAAACCAAAAAATAAATAAATTGCAAAAAAAAAATCTAACTATAAAAAACATTATATGCGTGTAGCTATTTGAAGCTAAAGTATTATTAACAAAAAAGTAAAATATATAAAAAAAAGTCTACGTATATATGCGTGTTCATATATAGCTACGTATACTTTTTTGCTCTAAACCTTATATATATATATATAAGGCTACGTGTGTGTGTGTATATATATATATATATATACACAAAAGGCAATATATATTTAGAGCAAAAAAGCTACGTATCTATCTATATATAAGGCCAATATTTGCATATTCAGAGCCACGTATCTGAGAAATATATAGAGCAAAAAAGAACATAAGAATAAGACCACAATAGGTATCTACATGTTATTGCTTTTTAAATAAACAGACCAACATCATAAAAACTTATAAAAGCTAAGCTCTGACAAGCAAGAACTTAAGGCAATTTGACTTACACATAACCCTGCCAATGGATCAATGGCAATCACAACTCCATGACAACTGCGCAAGGTATGTTTCTCTGTAAGAAGCAATTTTCCATTCGTTCCACTTGCCACCGGTATTACATATATATATCCTTAATTTCTGAATTTGAAAATGAAATTCCTCAAGGTATTCCAGATTCTGCAAAATTTGAACAAGCAGACCATTTTTTCATATTTTTTTAAAAAAACAATTCCACAAACAACTCAAGCTAAATACCAAAACACGTCAATATGCAGACTTAGAAAAATATTACTAAGTTATCATCCTTCCTTTGCTCAGTCTCCATGAGCAGTCTATGTAAAATTAACAAATTTGGGACAGGGTGGGGAGTTGGGGACAACTAAAGTACACTGGAAAAGAGACAAATTGTTAACTTCTAAAGGGTCAGGCAAAAGTAAAAACATCTATAAGAGTAAGAGTTTTTTTGAAAAATAAAAATTCAAAATAACAAAGACCCAAACCATCATCCGGCTATCTCCAACAAAAAATTTATAGGAAATACTGCATTCCAAGCTGCTAGCCTACCATTATTTGATGGTTTGATTCAACTACTAGTAAAAATAGATTTCTATCAGTGAAAGATAGGAATACAATATCTTGCAAGTAGCAAGGAAATATGTAACTGCTCATATTTAGGAGTCTTTCTGGTGAACATTATAGATATGAAATTCAAATAATCTTGTGGTGATAAGTATTACCTGAATAACTCGTGAAGACTCTTAATAAAACTCTCTAAACCATAAGAAACCAAGATCTATCAATGTTGCAATAGTCACTGCAAGCATCATCACCCAAGTCAATTACACTGAAGGATGAAATAAGGCAATGAAGCAAAGCATTCTACATCATTTAACTGTTTCAAATGGTAGAGGACCAAAATCATTCAGAATTAACTTCTATCATTGTAAATCACCTCTGAATTCTTTCCAGATTTTTCTAAAAGAATTAGCGGTATTGTGACCTCTCATTTGGTAAGCTTATAGTACAATAATCAGCAGATAAATGACAATTGTAACAGCTAAACCATAAGAACAAAAACTAAGCTCGGATGCTTTAAAAGGGCCAATCTTCACTATCAGGTCCACATGGCTGGGGCAAACATAATCTAGGGCATACAAGTAAATTACACCTAAAAAGCTAAAGTTTATTCAGCCGTTAATCTAATCAACCAATAGCAACCAAAAAGGGATCACAGTAACAAAATACTACAACTAATTTGAATGAAAATTTGAAAGAATAAATGGCAACACCTTCACTGTATCGACCATCCTTTGCCAAGAAAAATAGGAAGTTTTTTCACCTGTCATGGATATTTATTTACTCTTAATGAAATCATAATTAGTACTTAGTACCGTTTAATATTAAAAGGAAAATACCGCTGGTGGTTTGTTGGTGAAGAACAAGCTCCAACATAAATAATGGATCTTTATATTGGGAAGATTGCTCAAGAACTGCAAGCTACTTGTTAACCTCCTCAACCTCTTCTAGATCAGTGGTATAAGCATGTGATATCTCTTTGCCCCAAACCCAAGCCCGCACAGTGTCTCCAACGCTCTCTCCATCCCCAACTAAACAGAACAGAGAAATTAAATTAAATTATTTGAATTTAAAAAAAAATGAGAAAATTGGAACAGGACAAACCGTGAATGTATATATGGGAGTTACAGAGAACTTACAAGGAGGCCGAAATTGAAGCCAACGATGACAGTGTTGGCAATAGAAATGGCAGCGAGTTCAACATCGCCGAGGTGACTCGCGAAGGCGTAGGTAACATCGTTCGTGGTGAATGCTGCCACGTGGCTGAAGATAGAGGGACCCACGATTAGCCATAGCTTCTAGAGGGTTCTTGTAGCCTCGATTTGCGATGGCCAAACCCGAGGGTTCTTGCAGCAAAGGAACAAGTGGTGTTCGTACAACTCAACGGTGCCAAAGATGGGGCTTTTGCCGAAAATCAGGTGAAGGAATCTGAACTCAGCATCGGCGGCAGCCGCGGAGCCAGCGAAGAGAAGACCCTCGTTCTAGAAACTTCACGGAGACGCTTGAGTTTGTCTGAGAGAGTGATGGGGGAAGAATGAGAAGAGCACGAAGGGATTGTAAATGTGAGGGGTTCTTCTCTCTCTGCTGCTACCCATCATCGTAAAAAATTAAAACAGAGGGAAATAATTTGTGTTTGGAGGGAAGATAACAAATAGGGAAAAATACCAAATTTAAAATTAAATAAATTTTAGAATGATTAAATTATATAATTAATTGTTAATTATAAATTAAAATGATATATTTTATGCTAATTATAAAACTTTTGTTAAGAATATTAACTAATTTTGGGATCATATATAAATTTATCAATTATTATGTGCTAACTATAAATTTGTAATATTAAGCAATTGATCATTTATAAATTATATTATAAAATTCTGAATCAAAATTTTGGTTTCTGGTAAAAAATCTAATTTAAAATTTATTTATATGTCATCCAACTATGCAAGTTCTTTTGAAAGTATCAACGGACCAAAATTCTGTTGGAATTTTCAACAGAAAATTATTTCGTTGTAGTTTTCAAAGGAAAAAGACCAAAATTTTGTTGAAAGTATCAACAGACCAAAATTCCGTTGGAATTTTCAACGAAAAATTATTCCATTGTAATTTCCATCGAAAAAATACCAAAATTTTGACACTAATAAGTCATTATCTCTCACGAGTCATTTTTGTATGCTCATAACTTCATCCATTTTACGTATTTTCATATCCATTTTCATGTGAGTACATCTGAGCATCATTTTTGTATGCTCATAACTTCATCCATTACTTCAACACTTCAAGTTATGAATAGTCATGACTACTTGCATTGTCACACGAATGTTTCAATATGTATGTACAACACTATAAATAATTATAAATGATACCATTATTGCATAAAAGAAATTTATGATTTGATTACTTGAAGAACAAAATGTAGAACAAAAAATTCAGTTAAAATTATCAACGGATAAAAATTCCGTGAAAATTTTCAACGAAAAATAATTTCGTTGAAATTTTCGACGGAAAAAGACCAAAATTCCGTTGAAAGTATCAACGGACCAAAATTCCTTTGGAATTTTCAACGGAAAAGTATTCCGTTGTAATTTTCAACGGAAAAAGACCAAAATTCCGTTTGAATTTTCAACGGAAAATTATTCCGTTGGAATTTTGGACGGAAAAAGACCAAAATTCCGTTGAAAGTATCAACGGACAAAAATTTCGTTGGAGTTTTCTGAAAAAACCTGCTATGGAGGAAGACCGAGTCTTTATGTCACGTTACAGAGGACCTCGTTTCAAAAAAACACGTCGTCTGGGGGCTCTACCAGAACAGATTTGATAAATATGTATAACTCTCGGATAGAGTAATAGAAAGAAAAAATCCATTAGATAATGAACTATTGTTCTAAGCCATCTCTAGCGATGAATCAACAATTTGAAATGCTTAAAGCGAAAACCACTTTTTTTATTTTTATTTGGTGTAACTAAGCCGGATGAAGGTAGACGTGCTATAGGAGTAACCCATTACCTTCTGGGTGGAATTGCCACAACATGGGCATTCTTCTTAGCAAGAAATTATTCTGTTGTAATTTTCATCGAAAAAAGACCAAAATTTTGACACTAATAAGTCATTATCTCTCACGAGTCATCCATTACTTCACCAACATTTTTACGTATTTTCATATCCATTTTCATGTGAGTACATCTGAGCATCATTTTTGTATGCTCATAACTTCATCCATTACTTCAACACTTCATCCATAACTTCATGACTACTTGCATTCTCATACGAATGTTTCAATATGTATGCACAACACCATAAACAATTATAAATGATAGCATTCTTGCATAAAAGAAATTTATGGTTTTTCTTAATGTTTGTGATTACTTGAAAATTATCAACGGAAAAAAATTCCATTGGAATTTTCGACGGAAAAAGACCAAAATTCCGTTGAAAGTTTCAACGGACCGAAATTCCGTTTCTATTTTTGACGGAAATATTCCGTTGAAAGTTCCAACAGAAAAAAATCCGTTGCATTTTTCGACGGAAAAAAATTCCGTTTGAATTTTCAACGGAAAATTATGCCGTTACAAATTTCAACGGAAAAACTCCGTTGAAATTTTCAACGGAATAAATATTTCGTTGTAATTATCAACAGAATTTATTGTCCGTCGATAATTTTCGATTACAAAAATTATATGACAAATTTTCGACAAAAAATTTCAACGGAATTTATTTTCCGTTGAAAATTTTCGTCTCAAAATTCAACGAAAATTCTTTCCGTCTCTATTTCAAACGAAACTATATTTCCGTCAAAAATTTCGTAACTATCTTTGATGGAATATTTTTCGTTGATAAATTCCGTCGATAATAAAGCTTTTTTTAGTAGTGTATGTTGTATATATGTGTATATATTGATGCTTGCAAGTTGCAACTTTTCTCTTCCTTAAGACTTGTTGTCCTTTGGTGCATATGTTCTTCCCACTTGGACCAACAACCCATGCTATATATGGTGGAATCGGTGTTATGATTTTCAATGGTTATATTGTCTATGACATGTTTATGACATGAAAAGTTTATGATATAGGACCTTATATCATTGTAGGATACGAGGCTACTTGTAAAACAGGATAACTTTCAAATTTTGGCCTGCATGAATAGTTATCAATTTTTAATAACTTTTAGTTTTTAATTTCATTTATACATCTTTTTGATTTTTTTATCTTTGAAAACCAAGTTCTATTTAGATATGTAATCAAATATTTGGAATGAATTTTTTTTATCCTTTTGAATCTGCCTGATTTTTTAAAAGAAATGTAAAATTTTAAATGATTTTTTTTTTAAATTTTCAACAAATTTGTGGGGGGTCTTAAACCTCCAGAAACTGAAACATTTGTGGGGGTCTGAAACCTCCGGAAAATATTTCAACAAATTGTGGCGCTGCACATAAAGACCCTTCAAAATATGTTATGGCGTAGGTAAAACTGGGGGTCAATGAAGATGCCACAAATGTATTTTGTGGAGGTCAAAGACCCCCATAATATGAAAATATGACCCCCACAAAATGCTTGAATTTTTGTAGTGACTCTTCAAGGTGTTTCAAGCTATTCACATAGCAAATCCTGCAGTAATGGACACTATAAGAAAATTGGTATTTTGTAACTTAGGGTTTCCCTTAGGATTAACACATAGAGGTGATTTTTCATAGGTGGTTGAGGTGTAATCGCCTCTAAATGTAACAATTAGAGGCGGTTTTAGTGTAACCACCTTCGAATGGTAAATGAGGGTGGTTATTTTAATCGCCTCTAGTACACATTTGGAGGTGATTTCATGTCAACTTCCTCCAAATGTACATTAGTGGTGGTTAAAATAACCGTCTCGAAAGCATATTTAGAGGCGATTCATGGTCTATCAGTTAGTGAGATTGAAAGAGAGGGAGATCTCTTTGGTCAGTCGTTAGATCGTTCTCAAATTTGGTCAGTGTGTTCATATCTTGTAATACTTTAATCTAACCGTTCAGATTTTTAAGTTTAATCATCTGGTGTTATATACAAAATTTTCAAGGTTGGTTGTTGCACGTTGAAAAAAACCATCTCATCCCACATTGGATGACCCTTGTTCCCCCTTCTCCATTACCTTCTATATAGCAACCCGAACTAACACACACATATACAAAATTCAATAAACTATTTATATTCAACTAATGAAAATTATATTAACTTTTAAAAATAATTTTAAAAAAACGTTATACTAACTAATCTTTGTCAAAAATTATATTAAAAATAAAAATTTGAAATTAAAAATATAAAAATATAAAAATAAAAACAATATTAACTTTTAAAAATAATAATTTTATTATTAAAAATTTAAAATTGATATAATTTTAACTATTTGGAGGCGGTTACATGTTATTTGAAGGCAATTAATATAATCGCCTCAGAATGACTTTTGCAGGCGGTTAAAATAACCGCCTCAGATTGTCATTTGTAGGCGGTTAAAATAACCGTATCAGATTGTCATGTAGAGGCGATTATTCCAATGGTTTGTGAAAATGGCTGCATTTTTTCTCGCGACGGTGGTAAACGAGGCGGTTCATGTATCGCCTAACTAGGTATTTAGAGACGGTTTAAACTTCCTCAAAATCCAAATGTAACCGCCTCTGAAAATCAATTTTCTTGTAGTGAGAGATGGCTCACCATCTATTCACATATATCAAACTTTGCTATTTCAAACGAAATTATTTTTTTTATATTTGCACTTGCACACATTGGCAACAATATAAGTCGGCCGGTGAATCAATTGAAACCTTAAGTCTGCGATATGAGGCCTTTGAGACTCATTTGGAGGAGAAAAGGATGCATCTACAAGCAACCACAGAGGCACAAATCATGGTTGGTTCCTTCTTCCCATCTTGGTGGGAAAATTCCATTGAGGAGACGGCTTTGAGCGATTTTGAGAATTTCAAGACTTCCTTGAAACATTTGAAGCTTAACTTGGTTGTATTAGTTCCATGATTCTTAATTGTGAATTTTGATCGTTATTGATAACATAGTTAAGTAGATGTTAATTGAAGTTCAATATATTAGTCTTTACATTACTATGCCGAAACAAAAATTTAGTGACAATTTCATAATGTGGGTTATTATTATCTCTGAAGAGTAAAAAGTTTTCATTAATTCAGAGTGCTGGAATTTTTTGTTTACCTTCTCCAAAACCCAAGTGATAAGCATAAAACAAATAATTAAGAAGGGAGTAGGCTTAAATATATTTCCTTTTTTGAAATCCTTAATTAGCTATCTCTATTAATACATATAGAGCCACCTAGCTATCCAAAAGTTTTGTTTATTAACTGTTAACAAATTTGTCTTTTACATCAATTTCCTCGTTCCTAAAATTTATTTATTACCAGAATACATTATTCTTTTATAGTTACTTCCGGTTATTACAACCCATTTCTTTGAAGAACAACCGGGGAATTAGGATTCTTTAAAGAGAGTAAATAATTAGGATGTCAAGGGATCGATTAATAATTAACTTAGAAGAATCGATTGGTGATATGAAAAAGGATGTTCAATCAAGGGTTTAAATCCATAACATAAAAGAGA